CTAAACAACCTGCTACGGACCAACCAATGGATCATTGAAGAAATTAAAGGAGAACTCAAAAAATATCTGGAGACAAATGAAAATTAAAATACACCATGCCAATTGTTATGGGATGCAGCAAAAGTGGTCCTGAGAGGGAAACTCATAGCAATACAGGCCCACCTGAACAAACAAAAAAATCTCATATAAACAACCTTAAACTACACCTAACAGAAGAATTAGAAAAAGAAGAACAAACAAAGCCCAAAGTCAGCAGAAGGAGGGAGATAATAAATATTAGAGCAGAAATAAATGAAATTGAAACCAAAAAAACAGTAGAAAGGATCAATGAAACAAAGAGCTGATTCTTTGAGAAGATAAACAAAGTTGACAAACCCTTAGCCAGACTCAATAAGAAAAAAAGAGAGAAGGCTCAAATAAATAAAATTAGAAATGAAAAAGGAGAAATTACAGCAGATACCACAGAAATACAAAGGATTATAAGAGAATACTATGAAAAACTATATGCCAAGAAATCAGACAATCTAGAAGAAATAGATAAATTCTTAGACTCATACAACCTCCCAACACTGAATCAAGAAGAAATGGAGAATCTGAATGGACCAATCACAAGTAAAGAGATTGAAACAGTAATCAGAAACTTCCCCAAAAGTAAAAGTCCAGGACCAGATGGCTTCTCTGGAGAATTTTACCAAACATTCAAAGAAGATTTAATACCTATCCTCCTCAAACTATTCCAAAAAATAGGGGATGATGGAACACTTCCTAACACATTCTAAGAGGCCAACGTCACCCTGATCCCAAAACCAGACAAGGACAACAAAAAGAGGGAAAGTTGCAGGCCAATATCACTGATGAACGTAGATGCAAAAATCCTCAACAAAATATTGGCAAATGGAATACAGCAATACATTAAAAAGATCGTACACCATGATCAAGTTGGATTTATCCAAGGAATCAGGGACACAGGGATGGTTCAACATCCCCAAACAGAACAAGAAATAAAAACCACATGATCATCTCAATAGATGCAGAGAAAGCATTTGACAAGATCCAACATCCATTCATGATAAAAACTCTCAACAAAACAGGTATAGAAGGAAAGTACCTTAACATAATAAAGGCCATATATGACAAACCCACAGCCAACATCATACTCAATGGGGAGAACTGAAAGCCATTCTTCTGAGAACAGGAACAAGACAAGGGTGCTCATTCTTGTCACTCTTATTCAACATAGTACTGGAGGTTTTGGCCAGAGCAATTAGACAGGAAAAGGGAATAAAAGGAATCCAAATAGGCAATGAAGAAGTGAAACTCTCGCTGTTTGCAGATGACATGATCTTATATACAGAAAACCCTAAAGAATCCATTGGAAAACTATTAGAAATAATCAACAACTATAGGAAAGGTGCAGCGTACAAAATCAACTTACAAAAATCAGTTGCATTTCTATACTCTAATAACAAACTAACAAAAAGAGAACTCAAGAATACAATCCCATTTACAATTGCAACAAAAAGAATAAAATATCTAGGAATAAATTTAACCAAGGAGGTGAAAGACCTATACAATGAAAACTATAAGACATTATTAAAAGAAATCGTTGATGACATAAAGAAATGGAAAGATAACCCATGCACATGTATTTGAAGAATAAACATAGTTAAAATGTCCGTACTACCTAAAGCAATACAGATTCAATGCAATTCCAATCAGAATCCCAATGACATTTTTCAAGGAAATAGAACAAAGAATACTAAAATTCATATAGGGCAACAAAAGACTGTGAATAGCTAAAGTAAGCCTGAGAAAAAAGAACAAAGCTGGAGGCATCACAATCCCTGACTTAAAATATACTACAAAGCTATATTAATTAAAACAGCATGGTACTGGTACAAAAACAGACACACAGATCAATGAAACATAATTGAAAGCCCAGAAATAAAACCACACATCTATGCACAGCTAATCTTCGACAAAGGCACTAAGAACACACAATGGAGAAAGGAAAGTCTCTTCAATAAATAGTGCTGGGAAAACTGGACAGCCACATGCAAAAGAATGAAAGTAGACTATATTCTTTTGCCATACACAAAAATTAACTCAAAATGGATCAAAGACCTGAAGGTGAGACCTGAAACTATAAAACTCCTGGAGGAAAATATAGGTAGTACACTACTTGTCATCAGCCATAAAGGGATCTTTTTGAATTTCATGACTACTCAGACAAGAGAAACAAAAGAAAAAATAAACAAGTGGGACTTCATCAGACTAAAGAGCTCCTGGAAAGCAAATGAAAGTAGGATCAAAATGAAAAGACAGCCCATCAGCTGGGAGAAAATATTTGCAAATCATATATCTGACAAGGGGTTAATTTCCATAATATATAAGGAACTCACACAACTGAACAACAAAAAAACAAACAAACCAATCAAAAAATGGGCAGAGGATATGAACAGACATTTTTCCAAGGAAAATATACAGATGACCAATAGGCACATGAAAAGATGTTCAACATCACTAATCATCAGGGAAACTCAAATCAAAACTACATTAAGATATCACCTACACCCATTAGAATGGCTATAATCACCTAGAGAAAAAATAACAAATATTGGAGAGGTTGTGGAGAAACAGGAACCCTAATTCACTGCTGGTGGGAATGCAAATTGGTGCAGCCTCTATGGAGAACAGTACAGAGATTGCTCAAAAAATTATAAATAGAAATACCTTATGATCCAGCTATCCCACTACTGGGTATTCATCCAAAGATCCTGAAATCAACAATCCAAGGAGGCTTATGCACCCCTATGTTCATTGCAGCATTATTCACTATAGCCAAGAAGTGAAAGCACCCCAGGTGTCTGTTGACTGATGACTGAATAAAGAAGATGTGGTATATACATATATATATACACACCACACACAATGGAATACTACTCAGCCATAAAAAAGACAAAATTTACAACAACATGGATGGACCTGGATGGTATTATGTTAGGCGAAATAAGCCAGACAGAGAAAGACAAACCACATGATTTCATTCATATGTGGAAGATAACTAACACATGGACAGAGAGAACAGTTTGGTGGTTACCAGTGAGAAGTGGTCTGGGGGGTGGGCCCAAGGGGTGATGGGACACATTTATATGGTGACTGACAAAAAATAACATATATCTAAAATTTCACAATGTTATAAACTATTATGACATAAAAAAAGCTACCCGAGTGGATTTAGCTTCCATGGGAAGGCCAGAGTTTTCTTTGAAACGATCTAAAGTCAATTAAAATAGTTATGAACAAATTCATCACACTTTTGTGTGCAAGCCTAAATTTTGTTGCAATCAACAGGCTTGGGAAAAGCTGCTGGGATTGCTTGGTGGAATTTTGCAGCAAGTATTCTAGCCTCTTGCCAAAAGTTAGGGGTTGGTTTTTCTAAATCCTTTTCAGGATGTTTCTGTCAGACAAGTTTCATCCAGTGCTGGACCAGGCCTTCCCCAACAAGCATATGAACTAGCTGATGTAATTCTGAAAACCCAAGCTGGTATGTCTGAACAACTATATTAAAATAATCAGCAAATCTATGGGGGTCCTCAGTTGCTTTTGGAAAATCCTTAACAATGGCTCACAATTTGGCTTTAGTCCAGGGAACATAAGAGATCTGAGTTTTGTCTGGATCCTCAGAGGGTTTAACTTTAAAAGGGCAGGTTCTGATAGGTTCAGAAGAAGGGGCAAGGGTAGTTCAGAGGAGAAAGCCAGTTCCAAAAGAAGATGAGTGTGTGTGTAGGGGGAGGCAGAGGGTGCAGAAAAGCTGGGGGCAGTGCAGAAGGAGGAGAGAAAGATAGTGTCAGGGGGAAGCCTGAGCATAAGATGGCTGCCGGGGCAGAGCCTGAGACAAAGGAGTCTGGGAAGACAAAGAAGATGGCGCCTGAGACAGAGAAGAAGGGGGAGAGGAACATGAAGCTTCAGAAGCCATTTTATTCTCCCTCAGTTTTTTAGTTGTTTCTGTTAATTTGGACACAGAATCTTATAGTGAGGCAATTTTTAGAGCTTTGTGCATATCCATAAGCCTCCGGGAACCAATGAAAAGAGATATACCATTCATTTTGCTTAATTTTAGAACTGCAGTCTTCCAATTCTGTTTTAAGAAAAGGGAGTTTGGGAAGATCAAAAGTTCCCCATAATGGCCCTTGCAATTCTGGACTGCTTTTGGTCTGTTTGGCCCACTTAGTTAAAAATGCACATGTAGCAGGCCCATAGTTCTTAAACATAAAACTGGCTGGGGTCTCTGAAGAAGGGTTTCCCTTAGAACATTTAGATGACTGAGATCCCATTTCTGAAATGTCCTCTGAAAACCCAAGAAAGTTGCTAGAGTCTCAGCCCTGATCCCTGCAGGAATCTAAAAACAAAAGAAAGTTGCTGGATTCCCAGCCCTGATTCCAAAAAGAATCTGAAAACTGGAAAAAAACTGGATTTTCAGCAAGCAGAGTCCTCAAAGGAACTGTGCTACCTTTAGAAAATAACTGAGTACTCGCCAAGACTGACACCTTGAACCAAGGACAGAGCCTTGAAGCTGGAAGGAAAAAGTCTCTCCCTCAATAGGACTTCACTTTTGCCCTCAAGAGGACAAAACCTCTTCTGATCCCAAATAAAATCAGAGAGCTCAAAAGACAAGGAGAGCAGAGCTCGGAATCTGAGAGGAGACTCATCAAACAGAAAGCAGGCAGAAACTCACAAAAGCAATGAGCACAAGGGGCTCAGTGCAGGTATCTCACCCGTTTCAGCGGGGCACTGCCTCCTGGGAGTCGCCTTATCAGATCCCACATTTCTGACGCCATATATGTCAACTTAAAAAGAAAATTTGCCAGTTATTTTACCCTCAAAATGAGTTTATTTGAGAATAGCCAAAAGAATTTCAATTCAGGTTGTGAATGCTATGGAGAACCATAGGCAAATCTGGAGAAAAAAGAAGGGGAGCTGCTTTTATAGAGAAAAAGAGGAGTAGTGAGGGGCTGTTCTAAGTGAAAATCCATTGGGGAAAGTGACAGTGTAGGGTGGCAATGGCTTCTCATTGGCTGAGCTGCAGTGGTTCTCATTGGCTGGGCTGTTACCAGGTGGGGAGAGAAATTTTCCTGGTTGGAGTAACTGATGATGTATGATAGGGTATGAAAGCTCTGCCTACAGGCCTTCTCAACTCCAATTTAGTTAAGGTTTCTTTTATTAATTTCCACAGCTCTAAATTCACCTTTTGTTGACACACTGTGATACCAGAGCTGGACCCTGTAAACATTACTACTTTACCAGCTGGCACAATGTTGGGATTTGTCAGTCGAGGGTGCTGGAGAGACACTTTGAGGAGACAGCCGTAGACAGGCACTTCCCTTTCAGGTTCTGATCCTTCTATGATTACTCAGTGCAGGAGGACAGCAACCCCCACCTACCATCTCTAGCTAGATTCTCATGTTTTCCCCATGCAATGGCCATTTCTGCAGTTACAATGGCTACAACCTCAGGCAACTGTATCCCTACCTGGCATTTTGTGTCTACAGACCAGCTCCAGCCTGCCCACAACCACCAGCAAAAGCAGACAGCTTTCATGGGCCAGCTCCAACCCATGCCCTCTGGCCAGTGGCTTGGCCAGTGGCCAACTTCATGTTCCTGTGGCAGCCATGACCTCAAAGAGGTCTGAATCTCAGCCTGAAGGGAGGGGGGACTCTGCCAGGCAAACCAGAGTGTATGGTCATCCTATTAATATGCCACGTTCCAAGAGGCTGTGAAGATTATATTTCCAATTTAACTTTCCAATCTGCAGGACATCCAATCAAAGCGCCCCAAAAAGGAATGGATATATTTAGAAGACAAACGGACTGCCCTAATTGCTTCCCAACTCCTGACCATTTAGTATTTCCAAGTAACATCGTTGGAATTAGTGGAGAGAATGACAAGGCACTAATGGCAGTTACCACGTGGTATCATGTCAGAAACACTTGTTTCTCTCACAAGTTCTTTAAAATACAAAACCTGGCAAGCTAATTAATGTGATGCTTTTCAAGTTGAGGTCCACTGGGTTCTGCACATTGCTGGATCAACCAGCGCTCCACAACATTTCTTTTTAATAGTGTGCTTTCATTTTGGCAGTAGTCTAAACATTCTAATACAAGCATGTTTGGGATTATCTGCATGACCACTTTATAGCTGAGTACTCGGAATTTAGGATCATGTTGGTACTAAGGGGTACTAATTTAATTGTGGAAGGGTAGTGAAAAATGACAGATGTAGGTCTTGTATAAATGATTCATTAACTCTATGGACTGGCCGCATAACATCCAGGAAGGCTTTGTAACAATTTGAACAGAAAGACGTGGTGGGAGAACTGCAGAGGGAAGGGATTTGGGCAAATGGAATACACACATTAGTGTAGGCACCCCAAACTCAACAGAATTGGTGAAAACGCAGAGAGTACCATTTTCAAGTTGAAATAGCAATTTAGTTTCAGCAAAAGAGCATCACAGATCACATGCCAGGAGACTCCATAGAGCCACTTAGCCTGGCTGCTCTTGGAAACTGAGAACCCCGTTCCCTAAGCATTCTCAACAACCACACCCTAATTCTTATTGACACTTGTTCATCATAATTAAACTTCTCCTCCCTCACTGAATGCGTGGGACATTCTTTCATATTTCCTTGTGACAATATTATTACCACAGCATGTGGCACAAAAAGCCCTGCTCCAGGAAGGAGGCCGTAGGGACTGCAGTCTTGTTTCTTCCTTGAACTCTCCGTGGGACCCTGAGCAAATCACACAAACTACGTCTCCTTCCCTCCCCTCCTCTGTAAGGTATGAGGAGCAGAGGCCACAGTCTTTGTGTGCTTTCTAGCTCTGACAGTTCATGATGCTATCTCTGCTCTCCTGGCATGAATTAACAGAGACAAATGCGTTGTTTACCCCTCGCCTATTGGAAATCATGAAAGCCTGCTGGAAATGTGGTAGGGAGAGAGGGGTGGTGACAAGGGCAAAGTACGAAGTGGCTGTTGGTGGAGAATATGGTGTAGACATTCAGAAGCCCAGTGAAGGCTAAGGGTGCCTCCTCACAATTAGCCCCAAGTGGGTTCTTCAGTGTGCAGTATTTCCTCCTCTAACAACGTGGAGGACAGGGATCTCAACCTCCTGGAACTCCGACTGTGCCTGGACTCCACATCCCTCCAGGACAAGGGGAAGTCTGAGATGGAGGTCCTGGGGGACCAGCCTGAGAATGGGCTAGGGCTATATCTGCCCTGGGCTCTGCAAAGTCTGGAGCCAAGGCAATCAGTAAAACAACATCCAAGAATCAGGAGTTGGGAACCAACAGATATTTTCAAGCATCAGTTGAAGAGCTGTGAAAGTGAGGTATGGAGCAAGAAGACAGAGGGTGAGGCTGAGAATAGTAGCTGAGATTCTGAATCATGGTCTGGAAACTTCTCATCAGGTACCTGTGGCCTCACTGGTGGGTGAGGCCTCTGCAGCCCTTTGCCTATGCCCCATGTCATCCTTCCTCATCTCTCACCCTCACTGCATTTGCCTAACATCATCTTGCTGCCCATGATGGCAGCTTCCCACAATATACTCTTCAACACACAGCCAGAGGGATCTTCCTAAAACACAGATATGATTATGCTTCTCCCCACTTAAAATCCTTTGGTGATTCCCCATAGTCCACGACAGAGAGAGGGAATCCTCTGTGATGGTTAATTGTATGTAGCTCCTTGGCTAGACAATAGTACCCAGATATTTGCTCAAACACCAGTCTAAATGTTGCAGTGAAGGTATTTTTTAGATGAGATTAACATTTAAATCAATAGACTTTAAGTAAGGCAGAGTACTCTTCATAATAAGGGTGGACCTCATCCAATCGGTTGAAAGTCTTAAGAGAAAAAGACTGAGTTCCCCCAAGGAGAGAGAATTCTGCCTCCAGACTGCCTTTGGACTGGACTTACAACATCAGTTCTTCCCTGGATCTCCAGCCTGCTGGCCCGCCCTGCAGATTTTGGACTTGCAAGCCTCCACAATCGAGTGGGGCAAAGTCTGAGAACCAGAGAAGTTTCCCTCAAAGGCCCGTGGCTCTCAACCTTCACCCCACACTGGAATCAATCCCATTTGATGGGTTCCTGCCCACAGATCCTGAGTTAATTGATTTGGGGTTCAGAGTAGGCATGGGATTTTTTGAAGAGCCAAACACTACTTGGAGAGGTCTGGGAAAGCTTCCTGGAGGAGGCATTGTTCGAGCTGAATTTTGGAAGAGAAGCTAGGATTCCAGGCACCCTATGTGTATATGTAGAGGAATGTGCATGCAGGATGTGGAGGGACTACGAATAGTTTACCATGACTCTAAAGGCAAGGAGATGGAACCAAGACTTTAAGAGGCTTATGCTCATTGATTGACAGTTTGGACTTGATATTTGGGGTAAGAGAATGTTATGAAGGATCTTAAACTGGGCTGTAACATGATCAGATTTGGAATGATTATTCAGGCTTCACTGTGGAGAGCAGGTTGGCATGGATCTGGTGAAGGAGAGGAATGAGGAGAGCCTCATCGATGGAGTGGGTGGGAGGGACACTAAGAAGATAGAAGTGACAGGACTCCTGATCATTTAGCTTTGATAGCTGGGGAAAGGGCTCACCCTAGCTTACTGTGAGATGACCAGTAGTTCAGAGACTGGGAATGTCTACAGCTCGGGAGACAGGTTAGAGATTTGGAAATAAGCAGCAGAAATTGAAACTTGAACCCATGGCTATAGCTGAGGTCATCCAAGAAGAGAATATTATGGCATGAAAAGAAGTGAGCTTAGAAAGGAAATATGGGGAATTCTAGCATGACAGGTTGAAGAAAAGGAATCTGGAGGGAAAGGGAAGAAACCAGGAGAGAAGTGTCCTCTGGAAACTCTGGGAAGGCAACAGTCAAAAGGGCTGAAGGCTGCCAGCAGATAAATTGCAATAAGAGCAAGGATGTATTTTTTGGCTATGGCAATCAGAAGGTCACTGGTGACCTATCGGGGGCAGTTTCAGAAAAGTTTGGAGTGGAAGGCAAACTGCAGTGGAGTGAGGAGTAAATCGGAAGGTGAGAGAAAGGCAACAGTCAATGTAGACTTTGTGTGTGTGTGTGTGAGGAAGCTTGGCCATGAGCTATCATCCATTGCCAATCTTCCTCTTTTTGCTGAGGAAGATTGGCCCTGAGCTAATATCTGTGCCCATCTTCCTCTATTTCGTATATGGGACACCTCCACAGCATGGCCTGATGAGTGGTGCATAGGTCCACACCTGGGATCTGAACCTGCGAACCCCAGGCCACCAAAGCAGAGTGTGCGAACTTAACCATTATGCCACTGGGCCGGCCCCTAATGTAGATTTTTTAAAGAAACTTGACTGAATGGAAGGATGAAAAGCAGAGTGGTAGCTACAGGGCATAAAAAGTAAAGGAAAGGTGGTTAATTTGTTTTTAATATGGGAGAGATTGGGCATATTTGTGGGACGAGAATAAGAAGATGACTCTAAAGGAGTAGAAGAGATTAAAGAGAGAGGAGTGAAGACAATTAATGGAACCATGCCCTGGAGAAGAAGGTCTGCTTCTTTCTTTGAAACAGAAGGGGTAGAGACATGGTAGGTGGAGTAAAGAGGAGAGTTGGCCACTCTTCCATGGGCGGGAGTAAGGAGGGAACCCCAGAGCACATGTGTTTCTGGTAAGACCTTCCTGCCACCACTCCCTACCATGAGACCATCAGAACCAATCCCTATCTTTTCTTTATCCAATTCAAGTTACTAGTCCACCATCTTCTGATTCTGCCAGCTTATCATATAAACTTTCCTTTCTCAACCACTGGCCAGTTTGCAATTGATTGGTACTGGATTGTGGCGGGCAGAACGAGTACCTTTTAGAAACAGAAAGTAGAATGGTGGTTGCCAGAGGCTGGGGGCCGGGGGTATGGGAAATTAGCGCTTGATGTGTACTGAGTTTCAGTTTGGCAGGACAAAAGAGTTCTATGGATGGATATGGTGATGGTAGCACAGCAATGTGTACGTACTTAATGCCACAGTGTCTCAAAGAGTACACTTAAAAATGATTAAGATGATAAATTTTATGATATGCATATTTTACCACAATTAAAAAAATGAATCTGTACATAATGATCCTTATCTCTGGGAGGAGTTTCCAGTAACTTTGTTTTGCTTATTTTCTAATTTTCCAAACTGGAACATATCTTTCTTAGATGGCTTTAAAATTTTTAAGCTAAAAATATACAAGCATATAAAAAAAGGATAAAATAATAGAGAAAAATAGCTTGCAGGGTTATGGGATTATGGATAATTGGTCCCTTCATTTTCGAAAATGTCCTCAATTGTAAAAGCAAAGTGACTCAGGGAAACAGAGGTACATTGATGAACTTTAATATTTTATTGAGTAGTAGGCCAGCCAAAAAACAACCTACTCTTATCAAGTGAGGTTTAATAGAAACACACAATTAACGCTGAGCTTAT